AGCAGCTCAGGCAATCCACTCACCTCAGCCTCCCAAAGGCACGGGATTACAGGCTGAGCCACCGAGCCCGGCTGCATTTTAAAAAATACTTATCATGTGCCATCCTGGATTGTCTCAAAAAATCCTATGAGTCCAGCACTATTTGTGCCATTTTACAGATGGAGAAACTGAGGCTCAAAGAGACTAATTGACTTGTGAAAGAATAGAGCCAATAAGGTGAGGAAGGGTAAAACTGGAGTCAAGATCAGGCAATGTGACACCAAAGCATGTTCTTAAACAAGTATACGCTATCGTTTCCCATGTATACTCACAATACAGAGCCAGTGGTGAACTGTATTAATCAGAGTTCTACACAGAAACAGAACAATAGGATATATATGGGTATATAAGATAATGACTATGGGAATTAGCTCATGAAATTATGGAGGCTGAGAAGTTCCATGTTATACTGTCTGCAAGCCGGAGGACCAGGAAAACTGGTGGTGCAATTCAGACTGTGTCCTAAGGCCAGAGAAGCAGACAAGTCAATAGTGTAACTCCTAGTCCAAGGCCAAAGACCTGAGAACCTGATGGGTAAGGAGGGCCGGGCAGATGTTGGAGTAAGAAATCCCAGAACCAGGAGCTCTGATGTCCAAGGACAAAAGAAAACAGAAGTCTCACTTCAAAAAGAGAAAGCAAATTCACCTTTCTTCCACCTTTTTGTTCTATCCAGATCCCCAATACATTGCATGATGCCCACCCATAATGATAAGAGAGGGGATCTTCTTTACTGAGTCTACTGACACAAATGCTAATTTCTTCCAGAAACACTCCCACAGACACACCCAGGTGTAGTGTTTTACCAGTTCCTGGGCACCCTCATAGTTCAGTCAAGTTGACACATAAAATTAGCCATCACATGAACCAAACTGTGTCTGCATTAATTAAAGATGTTAAATTAGCTAACAATATAATTTATCTGGGCATATGTACTATATTTTTAGAGTCCTCTTTATAAAACTTAATCTGAGCTGGGCTCGGTGGCTCAGCCTGTAATGCCGCGCCTTTGGGAGGCTGAGGTGAGTGGATTGCCTGAGTCCGCGGGTTCGAGACCCGCCTGGGCAGCGAGACCTCATCTCTACAATAAATCAAAAAATCAGCTGGGCGTGGTAGCACATGCCTGTAATTCTGGCTACTTGGAAGGCTGAGGCGGAAGGATCGCCGGAGCCCAGCAGGTCAAGGCTGCGGTGGCCGGGAGCAGCCACTGCACTCCAGTCTGGGTGACAGAGTGAGACTCCAACTCAAAAAAACAAACAAACAAACAAAACAAAAACTTAATCTGAACATTTTATTCAACAGGAATCAAGTATGATGTAGCTGAATGATGGCAAATTCTGACCAGCGCTCTTTTCATTAATAAGACTTCATGTTAGCTTCTTGAATGAAGAATATTTTTGTGACACCTACTTTGAATTCATGTTAGTCTCTTCATCTGTATGTGTTATAACATATACAAATGGACTTCCCTGTGGCTGAAGATCTGTTTGAAAGGGAAGTAAAATGGCATATTCACATTTATTGGAAATTTAAAAAGCATTACTTTTTAAGCAGAAGGTCACACTGAAGCATTCTTGAAGTATTTAAAATGGCCATCTGAGTTTCCTGTTTTTATTCAAAAAATCAGGAATAGAAGTGAAAATGTAGCAATTTCTCATATCCCTTAAGACAAAGCAGGGTTAGTCCATAAGAATGTTTTTCCTGAATGCTAATAATGACCTTTATACTTCTTGATTTAGGGCTCTTTAATAAACTTTAAAGAATAAACTATTTTATAATTAGCCAATTTGTTTGACATCTTTCTCAGGAAATAATGTTTTGACATTCCAGAAATCTGACAAAACATGTGGCTCAAATAGTAGGAAATAACTTAATAGAAGAGGAGCAGCAAAATATCTTTAACCTCCAGGGACACAATAACTACGAGTGGTCAGTAGTCCTGGTGAGGCTTCAGTCATATTATAAAGGGCTTTTCTTTTAAATGAAAGAAATATGTATTTTACAGTGAAAACTGGGGCTGGGCATTGTGGCTCATGCCTATAATCCCAGCACTTTAGGATCTCTTGAGCTTTGGAGTTTGAGACCAACCTGGGCAACATAGTAAGACCCTATTTCACAAAAAAATTTTAAAAATCAGCCAGGTATGGTGGTGTGCACCTGTAGTCCTAGCTACTAAGGAGGCTGAGTCAGAAGGATCACCTGAGCCCGGAAGGTCCAGGCTGCAGTGAGCCAGGACCATATCATTGCACTCTAGCCACTGCACTCCAACCTGGGCGACAGAGATCCTAACTCAAAAACAAACAAACAAACAAACAAGCTGAGGTTCACAGATTCTGGTGTAATTTTCGCCTTAGCAATCTTAAGGTCTTGCTCTCCACCAACCAGCCAGGCAACAGTGTCCTTTGACTTTCTGTCTATTCCTAGCTTAGCTGATTCACTATCCCTCATTAAAACACTATGGTAATGTTTTATTTTCTTGATGGGTTCCTTCATGTATCAGTTTCTGTACTATAGGCTAATTCGGAAAAGTACAATTTTATTACCTTCACATACTCACCATAAATCGAATAAGGCTAATAAAGTACTGTCTAGTATAAGTATCTTTCAACTTTATCTTGAATGTTCCCTAAAAGAATTTTGAAAAATCTATGCGCCGGGCTTGGTGGCTCAGCCTGTAATCCCGTGCTTTGGGAGGCTGAGGTGAGTGAATTGCCTGAGCCTGGGGGTTCAAGACCCGCCTGGGCAACTTGGTGAGACCCCATCTCCACAATAAATCAAAAATTAGCCGGGCGTGGTAGCAGGTGTCTGTAGTTCCAGCTACTTGGAAGGCTGAGGCGGAAGGATTGCTGGAGTCCAGCAGGTCGAGGCTATGGTGGCCGGGAGTGTGCCACTGCACTCTAGTCTGGGTAACAGAGTGAAACTCCATCTCAAAAAAAAAAAGAAAAATCTATGCAATACCTTGCAGCATTTTAAGTTGCATCAACACTTTTATCATACATTTAAACAGTTGCACAGACTGACTTAAAATATAATAGCACTTTGATACCTAACACCAACTTTTTTTCTGGAGTTGGGCTCTCACTCTGCTGCCCAGGCTAGAGTGCAGTGACACAATCACAGCTCCCTGAAGCCTCATCCTCCTGGGACTATAGGCGCATACTACCGTGCTCAGCTAATTTTTGGATTTTTTTTTCTCTTTTTTTTTCTAGAGTTGAGATCTCACTATGTTGCCCAGGCTGGTTTCCAACTCCTCCTGGGCTCAAACGATCCTCACACCTCAGCCTCCCAAAGTCCTGGGATTATAGGCATGAGTCACTGTGCCCAGCTATATATTTTTAAAAACACATAAATTAGGATAGGCACAGTGGTTTATGCCTGTAATCCCAGCACTTTGGGAGGCCGAGGTGAGAGGATTGCCTGAGCTCATGGGTTCGAGACCAGCCTGGGCAACTTGGTGGGACCTCATCTCTCTACAATAAATAAAAAATTAGCCGGACATGGTGGCGCATACCTGTAGTTCCAACTACTTGGAAGGCTGAGGCAGAAGGATCGCCTGACCCCAGCAGGTTGAGGCTGCGGTGGCCGGGAGAGTGCCACTGCCCTCCAGTCTGGGTGACAGAGTGAGACTCCAACTCAAAAAATAAAAATAAAATCATAAATTAGCTCTTTTTTTAATAGAAAAGTCAAGATTATTTCTTTTTTCTTTGAAGTCATAGTCCTAGTCTACCTCTTCTACAGCAATTTTATTCTGATTGGCCTATCATTTTTCACTGCAAAACCATCATATAATTTGAAATTTAATTGTTTTAATGTCTTATGACCATCAGTCTCTAAACATTAAAGTTTTTTGATTAACTTTTTAAACAGTTATATCATTGATGAAAATCCATAAGTATATCAAAGTTAAAAAATAACTGTTAAACATTAAAAATGGAAATGTTATTGGAAATGCATCTCAGTGAAGTAGATGGGTAGTGATTATGTTGTCTTGGTTGAGGGACACTTGTCTGATGTCAATATTTTGAATTTTTTTTTTGTTTGGAATTCCTGAGATTTTTTTTCCCCCACACTGGATAATACACTGTAGAAAGTGTGGGATGGGAGAGGAATGTGCCTTTTCATTGCAAAGTGAAAGAAAAGTGACCCTAAGAGGAGAGGTGGGAAATAAGAATTGGCAAGAGTCTCAACCACAGGTATATTCTCCAGTAGACACAATGTATTCAGGAAGGTTACGGACCTAAAATTGCTTTAAAGAAATATCTGATCCCTTGAAATTGTTCGGGCTAGCCCAGTGTGATGACCTCGGTGTTGTAGAGATCCTTTGATTCTTTGATAAAAGGCAAATGTAATATCACTAAGTATTCCTTCACTTAGTGCTTATAGGCAAACTATCCTTCCAAAGCTGCAGAGAGTTTCAAAAGCAGTTTCGTCTACTTCAACATTGGAATTCTGTTTATTCAATTAGTAGTTTGATAGATCCCTTCTCCAAACTAGCAAAAAGGAAAATTCAATTTTCTGCCTCTCAAACTATCTGAAATTATGAGTTAATAGTACTCCAAATTGTACTGCTGCATTTTACTCTAATGTAGTGTTAACACTAATAGAAAATGACAGAAAATTAAAGAACTGGGAATTAAACATTTTCCCCAAATCCCACTTTATAATAATAGTCTATAAATTGGCTATCTTGTGCTAACTCATGATGCTATAACTAAGGCCCAATTGCTTACTCCTTCAGTTGTTCTCATGACTCTTTGAGGCCTTAGCACACAAAATAACAAGGTTCCTGAGCCACAGAAAGTGAAAGAATTCTGGCTCTTTTAGAAAATTATCTGGTAGCTAGAGACCGTTGTCTACAGTAAGAACCAGCTCAGCCAAGGCAGGTTGATTGCTTGAGGCCAGCAGTTTGAAACCAGCCTGGGTGACACACAGAGACCCTGTCTCTACAAAAAATAAAAAATTAGCCAGGTGTGGTGGCACACACCTGTAGCACCAGCTACTTGGGAGACTAAGTCAGGAGGATCACTTGAGTCCAGGAGTTCAAGGCTGCAGTGAGCTATTACACTCCAGCCTAGTCGACAAAGCAAGACACTATCTCAAAATTAAAAAATTTAAAGAGTCAGCTCATGTTCTTTCTTTCCCATGCATTTCAGAAAGATGATCCTGATGACTCTCCAATAGAACTCAGCAAAGTACAGAGTGTGAAAGCTGTGGCCAAGAAACGCAGGGACCGCTCTCTCCCTCGGGCTTTCGAAATCTTCACAGACAATAAAACCTATGTTTTCAAGGCCAAGGATGAGAAGAATGCAGAAGAATGGCTCCAGTGCATCAATGTGGCAGTTGCCCAAGCAAAAGAGAGGGAAAGTAGAGAAGTAACCACATATCTGTAGGGAATTAAAAGCCAGCTTCATACACCACAGGCATTGCATATCATTGCCAATGCCAAGAAAAACAGATAAATTCACCAAGTCATTTTGTGTCTTATGAAATACCAGTGGAGTCCCTAAGAAGAAGGGTCTAAAATGGTAGGAGTCTTAGGAAATGTCAAACTCTAACAGTTTTTGTATTAACTGCAGAATTATCTGTGTGAAGCCTACAAAGAAAAAGAACTAAAGTACACCATCAGATGGTGTGGGGCCAGGAACAGAAAAGTTGCTGATAAAGGAATTCCTGTGGATATGTCATTTAAAACCATAAAAAAGCAACTTTACAAGATGCCTGAGGAAAGATTGGCATGTCTGATGAAAACCACAGTATGTCAAAGGTATTTTTTTAAAGAAAAAAAAAACTATTAGAAAAGATGAATTCATGTATACTGAGAAAAACCAAATAACTGACTTACAGACATATAATTACATTATCCTCTCTTAATACAACTGAGGCTAACACGTGGTACAGTGGTTCTCAAGTTAATCCAGTTATGTAATTAAATGTGTCTTTCAGAATTTCCATTTAATTTTTCCTTTTAGGTTCATATAATCTAAAGTTTAGATACATGGGTATATCTCCTGCCCAAGGCAGTAAGTGCAAGACTGAATAAGCACAGAAAAATATCTTCTTCATCTTCAAATATGTGCCATCTCCCTTAAACTTTAAGAACTTAAAATTCTATACTTTTGTTCTTTGTATATGACCTTTTAATACCCTCAAGTTACAAATATTTATTGGTTTTGCAATTACTCATATATATTTCTTAATTTAGCTATAGCAGGCAAAATTCTAGAATGACTCCCAATGACCCATGCCCTGGTATAATCCTCTTCCCCCTATTGTGGGTGAAATCTGTAACTTGCTTCCAACGAATGGCCTATAGTAAATGTGATAGGATCATCTTTTTCATAATTATGTTATGTTATATGGCAAAAGTGAAGAGATTTTGCAGGTGTGTTTAAAGTCACTAATCAGCTGTTTGAGTTCATCCAAGAGATATCTTGGGCAGGTCTGACCTAATCGATGAGTCCTTTTAAAGAGGGTCAACAAGTCAAAGATTCTCTCTCCTACTAGTTTTGAATAAGCAAGCTGCCACAAGTTCTACAACTACAAGGAAATGCATTTTGTCAACAACCGTGTGATCTTGGAAGAAGACTCTGGGTCTCAGATAAGAGCCCAACCCCAGTCAAGACCCTGACTACAGTTTTGTGAACCTCTGAGCAGAGGACCCAGCTAAGCCATGCTTGGACTCCTGGCCCACAGAAACTTTGAGATAATAAATATATGCTGTTTCAAACACTAAATTTGTGGTAATTTGTTATGCAATGATAAGTAATACAAAAAAGCCAATTAGTACTACATGTATAGGATAACTTTTTCTGTGAAATTTATTTATTATGTCATCTAGTAAAGAGACTTGGAGAAAGATTTTAAGTGGTCAACACCCTGAATTTCCTGCTAACTCCCTAGGATAGGAAATATAAAAGGGGCCATGTTTGAGAAGGAAATTAATTCAATTTTAACAAGTAAAATTTGAGAGTCTTACAAGTCACAGGAGTTATTGCACATTGGAAAAAGAGTTCTGGAGGTCAAAGTTTGGGTTCATTGACTATACAGGTAGTCAGTAAAGATGCACAATTAGATGGCATTACCCAGGGAGAATAAGAAGGAAAGAGAATTAATAAGGGCTCCGTGGGACACCAGAATTTAAGTAAAGACAGGCTGGAGTAGCTGATTAGTGTTCAGAGATGATATAGACCAAGGGGCATGATGTCACAAAAGTGTAATTTAAAAAGATTTATCAGGAAAAAAGGAAGAAGTCAACAATTTGAAATTCTGAGAAGCTATCACTTAAAATAAAGCCTGACTTTCATCATTAGGAAGCAATTGGTGTCACTGGTAAGAATTTCATTGGAGTCAAATGTAAGTGGGCTAAAGAGTTGATGGGAGGTCAAGAGCTTAAAGCAATGATTAGACTATCCTTTCAACAAGTGGAGGTAAGATGAATGGGATAAGATGGAGAAAGTGTTTTCTTGTTTGTGTTTTGAGATATAAAAGAGAAAGGAGTTAAAAATACAGAAAGAAAGAGAAAAAAACTTTGAGTAAAGTTTCTAGAAGTTATAGAAAAGGATTAAAACTCCTTTATTCAGAAGCAATTTATTGAGCACTTACTAAGTGACAGGTACTGTGGTTGGCCTGAAGACACAAAAGCAGAGACATAGCTTCTCTTCTCAGGGAGTTTAAGGTGTAGTGAAAGAGACATACATACAACCAAAACTTAAGTGCTATGTAGCAAGTGCCTGGATGAAGATATGCACAGGGTCCTGTGGAAACCCAGGAGAAAGCACCATAAGTAACTTTACACTCAGAGTGGGCTCCCTCACTGTTTCCCAGGGATGCCAGAGGAATATGCTCCTCTTAAAGAACTAATAGGACCACTGCGGGCAAGCAAGGAGCAAATGGACACAAATGAGGGAACCACCTTGCAAATGTAGAGGAAGGAAGGAGGGGGAACATGGCCCATGGGCAAAATGGTAAGTATTTTCCTAGGACTGAAACATAGGGGGCCTGTGAGGTGCAGAGTGATGCTGAAAAGGCCTGCAGGATGGCAGCACGCAGGACTCAGTTCCACGCCAAGGATTTTAAGCTGTCTCCTTAAGGTGGTGGAGCACCAAGAAAAGGTTTTAAGCTGAATTGCATTTAGAGAGATAATTCATGATATAGAGACTGGGTTATAGACATATCAAAAATGGGCTGGACACATTGGCTCATGCCTATAATCCCAGCACTTTGGGAGGTGGAGGAGAGAATTGCCTAAGCCCAGGGATTCAAGACCAGCCTGGGCAACCTGGGGAGACCTCGTCTCTAAAATTAAGAAAAAAAAAATTAACTAGGCATGGCAGTGCACACCTATAGTTCTAGCAACTTGGAAAGCTGTGGCAGAAGGATTGTCCAGGTTCGCAGGTCGAGACTATGGTAGTCATGAGCATGCCACTGCACTTCAGCCTAGGCAACAGAGTGAGACTCCGACTCAAAAAAATTGTAGGAAGAAGAAAGAAGACCATTTGGAGGCTCTTCTAAGGTGGTGAGGACCCAGACTCATGTAGTAGCAGAGGAAATCAACAGAAATTGATAGGGAGGAAAAATATTGAGTTGGTAAAATGGACAGGACACTGGTCGATTGGATGGAGTTGGAATATGGGAATGGAAAAAGTCTCCTGATTCCCAGGTACTTGCTTGGGAAACCTGGTGGATAATGGTGGAATTCACTGAAAGAAAATTCAGAAGTAAGAGTTTAAAAGGTGAGGCAAATGGTAAGTTTAATTTTGATATATACATTCAGAATATAGATAGGGGACTCACCTTGAATTAGGAGGAGGCATCTCCTCCTATGAAGTTGGACAGAAAAGGGTGAAAATAGGTATAGTCGCAAAAGATGATCTAAACATTCTTTTAAAACTTACTAGCCCACCCAGGCACAGTGGATCATGCCTATAGTCCCAGCTACTTGGGAGGCTGAAGCAGGAGAATCTCTTGAGCCCAGAAGGTCAAGGCTGCAGTGAGCTATGACTGTGCCACTGCACTCCAGTCTGGGCAACAGAGTAAGACCCCGTCTCAAAAAAATAACAATTAATTAATTTAAATACATAAATAAAAACCTACCAGCCAATTCTTAAGAGTCAATGAATAACGCTAGGTACTTTAATCAATTAGGAAAAACATAACAAATGATCACAAAGTATTAGGCAACTGCACCAGTTATTAACAATTGAATGCTAACAATGTGCTTGAACCTTTTATAGCCAAGAGCTTTTGGTAAAGCAATGGGTATGTACCAATTCTTATCTATTTTTTTAAAAATTTCAATAATTTTGAGTACAAATGGTTTTTTATGACATGGAGGCATTTTGGTGAAGAAGTCTGGGTTTCAAGTATATCCATGACCCCCACTAATGTACGCTGTACCCACTAGGTAACTTTTCATCCCTCTTCCCCTTCCTATCCTCCCCTTCTGAGCCTCCAGTGTCTACTATACCATTCTCCATGCCTTTGCAGATCCTTAGCTTAGCTCTCACTTACAAGTGAGAACATGCGGTGTTGGGTTTTCTACTCCTGTGTTACTTCACTTAGGATGATGGTCTCCAATCCCACTGTATGTTTGGCCAAACAAAGAACAGAATAGCTCTACCAGCTCAATTTGTGGGGAAAGCTCAATTTTACTACTTGCTACAATGTCCTTGTGATTTTTTTATTTTTATTTTTTGAGTCAGTGTCTCACTCTGTCACCCAGACTGGAGTGCAGTGGCATGCTCACAACCACCACAGCCTTGACCTGCAGAACTCAGGTGATCCTTCTGCCTCAGCCTTCCAAGTAGCTGGAACTACAGGCATGCACCACCATGCCCAGCTAATTTTTATATATACTGTATATACTGACGTCTCACCAAGTTGCCCAGACTGGTCTCAAACCCCTGGGCTCAGGCAGTCTTCTGCCTTCCAAAGTGCTGGGATTACAGGTGTGAGCCACTGTGCCCAGGTCTTTGTGACTTAATTAACTGGATGCCTCTAATTTAAACACAACTCTCAGTGCCTTTGAACCAGATCTAAAAAGAAGTAAATGTATAAGGTATAAATAATTATCTTTCTAGTTTCATTCCATGTGCAGTAATTCCAAATACAAGTAATTCTCCTAGGTTCAGAATCACACCAGGAATTTCAGAATCATCAGTGTCCTGAGGATATTTCTGGCACTTTCACCCCTATTGCTGACTAGTTTACCACTGTCTGGTTTTTCCCAAAAGGGAAGCCCATTCCTGATCCCCATCTAAAAAGAAACCACTTTTCTAAACATGCTTAAACATTTAAAAATGTTGGTATGAGTAAAATTATAATCATGGACAGAAATTCAAGTGGTTTTCATTTTTATTTAATTTTTTCTTTTTCCTTCCCAGATAGCATTGAAAACATGAATGTTTATGTATAAGAATTTCATCTGGTTGTTTCTTGGGAACCTAGAATTTAGTAAAAAATAGATGTTCAATATTTTTCTAATACTGAGTTTTCTAGCAAATCCTTCGCTGGTGATGTCAAGGTGCATTTATAGGGTCACCTTCAATTTGCATACTTTCCATAGGCACCTACAGATCTATTTGTGGTGCTGACTTATTCT